CCCTGCAGGGGGAGTGGGCCCTGGGTCCCAGGCTGTGTGCTGTAGGTGGGGGCGGGGAGCCAGACGGCGGGCCGGGGTGGGGGAGGTGAGAGCACTTCCTGAAGTCCACTGTGCTGTACAGCTGGAAAAACGGCTGCTGCTGGCTGGGTCCTTGAGGTGCCCCGAGCCGTGTGTCATCTGCCTATTTTCGTCCTTGTGTTAGCGGGTGCGGGGGGCCACGGTGGCGGAAATGCCAGTCGCTCTCCTTCCTGCGAGCACAGAACCTGCCCTTCAGATCAGCCAGAGATCTTTGGTGGGATTTTCCTGTTCACTTTTGTGTGCTTTTAGATCCCCTGGGGCAGCTGTGCCCTCGAGTAGACAGCGGGAGGGAGGGCGGCCTGCTTGGGCGGAGGGAGCAGATTCTTCTGAGTATTTCGGCTCACGGCGAGCGAGGGGACCTGTGGAAATTAGAGAGGCTGTGACCTTATCAACCTTAGTTTTGGTGCAGGGTATGGACGGAGAGATTAAGAAATGTGGGAGCGGTGACAAGTGGCCTTTGAGATGTGGTTGCCGGTGGGCGGCCTGGGAGGAAGGTTGAGGAGGTGTCTTTTCAATCGGAGCCTTCGTGCTTGGGTGCCGTAAATATTCTCCGCACACACGTGCGTGTGTGGTACTAACCTGTGCGTGTGGAGAGCCCACTGAGGCGTAGACGGGCCCGGCGGATTTGGACCGGGTGTAAATTTCATTTGTTGGCGTCAGACGTCAGCTTCGCTCTGAAACCAGCTCCGCCTTGTACACCGATGCCTTGTCCTGGAAACAGTCTGCCCCCGAGACTTCCTGCTCTTCGCCCCCTGTCTGAAAACAGAAAACCAAACCACCAGAATGGAAGTCCTGAAGAAGTGAGTTCCTACGAGTGACAAGGGTGCGTCTCCACTGAGTCACCCTCGCGGTTCCTCTGACCCTCCTCCACCTGCCGCCTGCCCTGCCGCAGATGTTTACTCACCGCAGGCACAGTGGGAAGCCAGCGTGGCTTCTCTTTTCTGTCTTCTAGAGTTGGCCCTTTGGTTGTCACTTTGGTTGACACTGGGGGAGGGACGAGCCGCGGGTGGGGCCGTTTCCAAGAGGCTGTGCAAGCGGAGAGCACGGAGGAAGTGCCTTGAGCGGGGGACCCCGTGTCGGGTGCTCTGGAGGGGAGCACGGCTGACGTGGCTAGGGCGTGGCAGAGGGGCCGTTGGGGCCGGAGCAGCATGAGTGCCGGAGGGAGCAGGAGAGGACTGGAAGGAAGAAGTAGCTGGGGACCGGGTCCCATAGGCCCTTGGGGGGGGGGGG